TATGTCTAGTCCCCTTCTTCTGTTAACCTGTTATATAGACTGAGGAATCCTATAGACACCTCGGCTTAAATATTTCTACATATAAATAAACATTATTTCATTTAACTATCACTCCTTTAGCCTCCACGGAAGCAAGCACTTGGTTACAGGCACAAGGAGAAAAAAAATATGATTCTTAACCTCATGAATCACATCTTGTTTGTTACTCATTTTAGAATCACCTGTTTCTAAATAATTGACATGCTATTATAAGTATGAAATGTCATGATATAAAAGCTTTCCAGACTTAATTAATCCATTAAATACACTGGTATGTGAGCCATGAAAAGAGTCACTAATAAGATAAGCAGAAGGAAATGCAGGGAACATGAAAAGTAGAGAAACTAACAAACCAATTTTAGACAAATATCATTCCTAACCACCCCTACATCAGGAACACTACTGTTCAGTGAAATATACATACAAGTGTTAGAGATAGGATATTCAAATCGGTCACTTCTGACTCATTTATAAGGAGCTGAAGAGTCATGTTTGCTTGGATAGCTCATTGACTTTACAGTTGACTCCCTAGCTATTTAACTTGGAATATTTTTTATACTTAAATAATTAAATGTCCCAGGCAACAAAATTTACATTGCAACATCAATTTATAGCACTGGCAATGCAATGATTTCGAGACATTCAGTACTGAGAAGGATCTCTTTGAACCTTTTCATATCTGAAGAACCAATCTGGTTTCCAAGGACATGGTATATCCCAGTTCTTCTTTAGATATTTTTATTGGAATCTGTGGATAAACTTTTAAAATACAAAGGACTCCTTCAAAGTTACAAAGGAAATGTGCAAGAAGTCACAAAGGGGAAAAGAAATAATTGAACAGTTTGTTTTATCATTAACAATAACAACAAAGTCACACAGTTCATAAGTCCTCCCAGATGAGACATCTGTGGGCTTCTCTGCTTTGAAAAGAAACTTATCTTATAAACATGTCAGCCATGTTCTGAATAAGAAGAAGGTTTCCCACTGCATGGGGATGTGATTATTTGTTCTCCAAGATGTCCAAATTTCAGTGCTATTTAAAAATGTTTTTGAGTTTAACTAGACAGAACATTTTCCTTCAGCTGTAGGAGTAACAAAGGTCCCACAGCTGCTCATGATGGCAATTGCTTATGCGACTAAAGTCAAAATTTTAGGCTCTCAGACATCAGTATGAAAGTGAAATCTTACCTTCCTAGGGGCATAATCCATTGCATTTTAACTTTTGTAAGCACACCACACCTCCATATTCTTGTTATCATATTAGATCTTTAATGAGCTCTAATAACTAAGCGATTTTAAAGAGATGGTAGTGGCATAGCTCTGACTACTTCCTAAACTTACACTGGAAATGAATTACATTCTTCTTTTTGTGGCAAAAATGAAGAAAAATGGAACAGGAAAGAAGGGTGTATCCAGTAGCCCAGGAAGCTAGAAGCCAACAAGGAATAGAGGAGAGTTTCTTTTTCCATGCTCCTCTCCAAGAAGCAATGTGAGGCCTTTCATTCTGCTCCAGTGTTGTCAGCTGTACCCACTTCAATTTGCCATCTAAACACCCCTGACGTCTATGAAGTATTTTTCAAGGTTCTGCAGTTCTATTCCACTCTCATCTCTACTCATGGAAGTAACAGGTTGTAACCACACAGCACAGCACAGCACAGATGAAAACACACAATTGCATTTCTTCAGAGCTCCACAGATGGAAACAGGCGAGTGGAAAGAATGTGGCCTTTAGTGTCATGCAGATCCATCACTTAATAGCATTATGACTAAGACCAAATAACTTCAGCTTTTATAAGGAGCTCATTTTAGTCAGCTATAGCCTGAACAATAACAATTTTCAGCATGTTACAAGTCTTCAGTATTTGATTTTACAAAACAGGAAGTATACAGAGAACTCTGTTTTTCTGGTATCTAATAATATTTACTCTTTTCTTTCTTTTATTGTTTGCTTTTAGTTTTTGTTTATTTGTTTGTTTTTTTGGTTTTGGTTTTGTCCTGGAACTTGCTCTGTAGACCAGACTGGCTTCAAACCCACAGAAATCTGCCTGTCTACACAGGAGACCAATTACTAAATATAACCCCAGCAGCACAGACACGGAGAGAAACAATTAATAAATGGAACCTCCTGAAACTGAAAAGCTCCTGTAAAGCAAAGGACACAGTCAACAAGACAAAATTATATATATTGTATTTCTTTCCAGATACAGTCAAGTTTACAACCAAAAACAGTCATCACAGACATACAGGCGTGAAAAATAGCCATGAGGTGAAGAATTTTTCTACCTACCTTTACCATAGGGAATAGAAATATGCTAAGTATGGGCTGAAGTTAGCAGAGATGAGAAATAACTAATCCAAGATCAAAGGAAAATAGACTCTGATATATGTTGCGGGAGGTCCTTCCGCCCCTCCAACCAATAGCTGCTGAGATACCAGCCCATTGGGGCGTGGTTTCTCTCCCTTTTAAAAAAAAAAGGCTACTTCCTCCGCTCGCTCTCTTCACTTCTTTCTCTGCCAGCGACTAGACTCCCTTCCTGGTTGCGCAGAGGGCTGTTGTCTGGGACGGGGATCTGTAAGTTTTTTCCTCTTTAAATAAATACCACCCTATTAATCATAATTCCAAACTGGTGTGACATTGTTCGTGACTTATGCCTTCAGATATATTCCACGATTTCCCCAGTCTACACTCCTAGGCTATTTCTGCCTCAGTGGATCTGGATTCCTTACATTCCACTGGTCATCTGTCTTCTCTGGGCACATCCTAAACAGACAGTGCCTGTTTCACCAGCTATTCAGCCTAGCCAAGGGCTATGTTTACATCAGAAATCCTTATGAAGGTTGATCTTATCTATGACATGAATTCCAAGCAGGATATTCTATTAGATTTTTATGGGGGGGCCTACTGACATAAATGTGTCTATTAAAAAATGATAAATGTACACAACAGATACATGTACTCTATGTACTGTTCCAAAGACCAATACATAAAAAACAGCCATGAGCTGAAGACTCTCTACCCACCTTTATCATAGGAAATAAAAATATGATAAATGACCAATACCTTGCTTTTTGGAGCACAAATGAAAATATTAGTTAAAACCATATTCAAAATGTAATTTGACTTTTTTCAATATAATTCAAATGAAATCTAATATGAGTTGGAAATCCCCAGATATTACTTTACTTGTGAGTTTACTACAATTTTCCTCAATATCAACAGGTCTTCTGTTTGATACACATCTCTGTGTGTCAGCAAACGTGCCTTTTGTAGTTCACAGTAGCATCCATCACCTTTTCTTACCAAGTTAGTGATCAGGTGCTTACTTCCTGTCCATTTAAGACCCCTCCCCGTCTCTGCTCAAAGAGCCAGCTTTCTACCTCAAAAGAAGTACCCTTGCCTCCAGATCACCAGAGACCCTATTCAGTCTCCAAATCTAGGAATAGCATCTCATCTGAAATTTTACCAGAAAGGAATATAGAAGATAGTAAGAACTCATTTCTGTCCTAAGGACCAACAGTAATTAAGCCATCTAACCAATAAATTTGGATATTAGCAATTCACAAGAGTAAAAGCAACCATAAAAATGAATTCAACCTGTATGTAGTAACAATAAATGGACCGAACAGATTGTGTTCATATATTTAGACATTGACTTTCATATATAAAAATAACAGTTAATGAAAAAGAAGCCATTATTCAAAAGTAAACAAGGTGGCAGGTATGTGGGAAGGATGGGGGTAAGAACCAGAAGAGGAAAATAAAATAATTGCATTTTAGTTTTTAAAAAATTAAAACATCAAAAACTTAGCCCAACTTTTAGCAAATGTTTACATTTTTACTTTAGAATTATCAGAATTTACTTTTGAGGCATATTTGATACCATCTACAACAGAACTAACAAAACATACCTCTTTATGAATTGTTTCTAGATAATTATAAATGGAGAAGAAAGTCCAAAGGATTATCCGAAATTTCTTCAGAACATCAGGTTATCTATTTTTAAAATCTCACAACACCAACAAGTTTACCACTTCTTTCTTTGGTTTAAGTTTTTACTAGTTGTTTAAATAATATAATATAGAGATATTAATATTGCTGTAAGACAATCAAGAATTATTCAATTCTCTCACCTTATATCTAATTCCATAGTCTGTATGAATCTGGCATGGTCAGGATGTGTCATTTAAAATAGATATGTTGGAAATTTATTCCCTAAGGCAACACTGTCAGAAAGTAGAACCTAAAAGGAATAGTTCAGGCCTTGAGGGAAGAGCTAAACCTTACTTTGGGGGGGGGGAAGGGGGGGAAGGCTTCTCTTGCCTCTACCGCGGGCATTCCTGTGCTCTGAAAGATGTGATATGCAAAGAAACTGGCCCTGATCTGCCAACTACTTAACTTTGGACTCTCTGAACTCTAGAACTGTAATAGAATATATGTGTGGCCTTCATACTTCATCAAGCCTTAGGAATCCTGATATAGAAATATGGAGACTGCCAGAATAATCACTGAAATTAAAGAAGAAAAATAAAGTGCATATAGTGATGAAAACAGAGTCTTTCTGGGTTCATATGTACAAACACATACATATGTTTAAATAATTATTTAAGATTAATGAGAATACTAACAAGTCATTATGACATTAATTATTGTTTTTTTCTATTCAGAAAAACAATCTCAAGGGATAGAGAAGTGGTACAGTGTGAGAGGACCTGAGATTTTATCCTCAGCACCAATGTAAGTTGGGATTCAAATTCCCTATCTTTCTGTCTCTGTCTGTGTGTCTGTGTGTGTGTTCTGAAGTTCTGCCATGCCATGTGAGGTGCTGTGTGAGGTAATAATTCTTACCCCTACTTCGCCTGACCTTAGGAGCCATAGATCATCCAAAAAACAAAAACAAACAAGCAAAAAACTTATAACTGGCATAAAAACCTCTTTTTCTGAGTTGTTGGTCAAGGAAGTTGCTATTCCCTGCAGTTGTCTCCCAGAAGCTGAAGGTAAGAAAACATGCACTTCAGACACAGGACTTGAAGAAACTGAGCTGTAACTGATTTGGAAGCCTTCATCCTGAAGACTAGATTTCAGAGCTATGCAAGCTGCCAAGGAAGAAATGCAATTAATAGTCCTATCCAAGCTATGTTGAATATGAACCACAATCGCTAGCTCATCAAAATATCCCTAAAGGTACAGCAGTAGTAGCACATAAATTATGTTGTAAATAATGGCCATGTAATTGAATTTAAAGTTCACTCAAAAATAAGGAATTCATGCCTGGTACTGTAAACCTAGTCAATTAGCCATTGTTAGTAAGCCATGGATCTTATAGAAAAACCTACTAATAATACTTTCTTAAACCAGTATAATTTGTAGCTGTATTCTAAATATCCATCCTTATAGACAGACAAAGGTACGTCTCACCCTCATCAAATAAGCCTCTCTTTGCAGCAAAAAGAGACTATTACAGAATTACACAACTGGCCAAAATACAGATAACAACTGACCATTGGGTGCCCAGCCCCAATTAGTACATCTGGCTTAAAGAACATCTTGGAAGAGAGGGATGAAATATGGTAGGAGCAAAATAATCAGGGAGTATCCTACAAGATTGTATCGTTATCGCCATGAAATATCAATAATATGACTGGTTAATCTAGACCTGAACAAAGATAGTAATAATTGATACTCTAGCATGGATAGGGGAAATCTCATGGGGCCTTATCCCTATATGAAGAACTATATATAGGCAATTAATAACTATTGTAATAATACATAGATAGATGATAGATAGATAGATAGATAGATAGATGATAGATAGATAGATAGATGATAGATGATAGATAGATAGATATTAGATATGTGCGTGTATAAATGTATATATGTAACAATAATAATTAACAAAAAGTTGTCATGAATTTGAGAGGGATAAGGGTATGAGAGAGGATGATGGAGGAATGGAAGAAATGATGTAATTACAGTATTTGTAAGTGTTGGGTATGATAGCATATATCTCCGTGTTGGGAGAGGGAAATGGATAAGGATCAGAGGGTTCCTAGAGCTCACTTGTCAGTCAGCATAGCTCAATTTGTGAGCTCCAGGTTCAATGAAAAGCCTTGTCTTAAAAAATAAATTAGATCCTCCCCCCTCCGTCCACTTTCCACAGGGCAGGGAACCCTGACTGCTCTTTGGACTGGAGAGGGAGGGGGAGAGGAGTGGGGGGAGGGGAGAAGTGTGGGAGGAGGGGGAGGGAAATGAGAGGCTGGGAGGAGGTGGAATTTTTTTTTTCCTTTTCTCAATAAAAAAAAAAGAATATTCACAGAATCAATTCATCTGGGCAAATTGGGGGCTCACAGAGACTCATCTGCCAAACAGAGAGCTTGCATGGGACTGACCTAGGCCCTGTGCACATGATACAGTTATGTAGCTTGGTCTTTCTGTGGGACTCCTAACAGTGAAAGCAAGGACTGTCTCTGACTCTGTTACCCTTTCCCCCTACTGGGTTGCTTTGTCCAGCCTTAATAGGGGAGGAGGTACCTAGTCTTGCTGCAATTTGATATGCCATAGTTGCTTGATATCTTTGGGAGGCCCGCCCTTTCCTGAAGCTAAAGGAGGAAGAGTGGATGGGGTGGGGCAGGGGAGAAAGAAGTTTGGGGGAGAGACTGGGAGGAGAGGAGAAAGAGGAAACTAATCAGGCTGGAAAAAAAGTTAATTCATTAATTTATTAAAAAAATGAAAAGAAAAAAAGAAGGAAACCAAGAGCTGAAACTAGAGACTGTTATAAAAGAAATATTTACGGCATTTCCTACCCAGATGATTTATTTGTAAACTGTATCCTAAGACACTCAAAAATCCTCTATAAGCAGCCATTATTGACTGCTTTAAATCAGTCCAGAGGACAGGCAAATTGTATTATTTCATTTGTGATATATTAATTCATTCATTTAAAATAATGTAAAATAAAAATTATCAGCATATGATAAGAAATTCAAAGGGTATAAAATAAATAGAAAAAACTAGCTGCCTACTGTGAAAGTAGTTCTCCACAAATGTAATAATAATTATTGTTCATTTACTCTTAATAGTTCCAAAGCAATCTATACATATAGGAATATATGTGTATATTTCCATTAAAATTCCATATAAAATATCCTATACCGAATATTGTGATTTGTAATTGGAGATTGTGATCTATTCATGAAGGAGGAAATGAATTTACTAGATCATAATGAACAGTACAAAGGACTAGAAGGGGACAAAATATGTCAGAGGGTGCTGAGCATAGCAAAGAGAGATACGCTTATAAAAATTTTGTTCCTAAATTTTAACCTTTAAATTTATAGTGAACTAAGTTACATTAAATATATCCCATATATGGAGTTACAGGCAAAAATACATTAAAACACACAGTGTTTCAAAGACTGAGGTTTGATTTAATGATTATTTTAAAGATTGTTCCACACTAAAATGTATAAAGTTATTCCATTTTGCTTGTGTCAATGAGTTAAAGGTTACAAAGAATAATGTTATAATCACTGGTGGATCACATAGGATTGCTTAAAATGTTTAATAATTTATAAATAGATACACATTTTGAAAGTAGTAGAACATCTCTGTCCAAATCCCTCTGAGACATTCCACTTATTATTTGTGTCTCACACTTTCTAAGGCTGGAGAGTTTTTCAGGGCATGAATTGTCTATACACCATTCAGATGGCTACTTGTTAAACATCTTGTTCAGTATGCTTGCTTTTTCAATATTTCCAACAATGCTTCAGTTGTTGGATCATCCTAATATGTATGGTCACTTGAAAGCGAAATTTCACGAACTGAAATTACTATGTCAATGGAGATGTAGGCTCAGTTTTTGTGAGATATTGTCAAATTTTCTTTCATAAAACTGTGTTTGGTTATAATCCTATAATAGTATCTGGTATTCATTTTCAAAAAGTATGTGCTATGAACTATGTGTTACAACTAATACTCTAGGCAATCATTTCTCACTGCATTTTTTGCTTATTTTTCAGATTATAGTTTAATTGCAAAATTTATCCCTTCCTTTTCTTCCCACCATACCTTCCTATATATTCCTCCCTACTCTCCTCCAAATTCATGACCCAATTTTTTCACTAGTTGTTACTGCATACACATATGTATTTGTTTTTGTATATTCCTAAATATAACATGTTGAGTCCATATAATGTTACTTGTATGCACATATTTTAGTGCTGCCCACTTGACAATGAACAACTAAACAGTGTGCTCTTTCCTGGGGAGGACCACCCACATGCTACCACCTTTACTCAATTGCCAGTTTTTTTTTAAATCAGTTCTATTTTTTTATTTAAAAATATTTTTTTCATTTACTTACCAACCCCAGTTTCCCCTCCCTCNTCTTATGCAATAAGTAAAAAAATATTTTGCAATTTATTTGATCTAAAAATTACATTTAATAGTTAATTTACATGTTGTATGTGAGCTGTTAGAATGTATTGATAAAAATAACATGAAATGTTTTTCTTGATATCTATTGTTGACCTATTAAATTCTAAAAATGGCAAAAAAATAAATAAATTAGAGAGAAATTGATAAAGACAGCCAATGTCAACTTCTGAACCCACATACAGGCACACACATGTGCATGCATACTCACATGTATATACATTACATTCATATGCAGAACATACTACACATAGGTACATTTGCACACACGATTTAGAATGTTGTAATCATATTTATAAAATAAATTTATAAAATAAATAAATTTATAAAATGATTTAAATATTTAGTTGTACAAACTAGACTTACTTTCTAGCCAACAAAATAATCAGATACCAGTTTTCTCTGCAATTGTATGCCAAATCCTACTCAAGAATATAGAGGAAATGGCAAGCAGATGTCTGAAAGATAAAATCAGAGGAGGAATACTCATTTATTCATGATTCACATCTTTAAAGTGTCTTCACATTCATCACTTCAAATTCCATACTAATAAATGCACACATTCAAAGCACACAAGTTTTTCTGATTTGCACATTCACTTATAATATTTATTCCTAGGTTAAACAAGGTTATTAGAGTTTTATTACATATGATATTAACAAACCTTGAACTTGAGAAATTTTTGAAGCAGAGAACCAAGTAAAATGCTTAATCATAATCTTTGATTAATCTTGCTTATAGTTCTTGAATGAAATTAATAACTAGAAGCATAAAACTCTAATTACCACTACTGTGACTGTGGTGAGTTTAACACATCTGTAGCTATATCTTCACTTATAAAAGAGATACCACTTTAGTTATTTGACTAAAAGCAAAGGACTAGGCCAGAGAAGATATTTAGGTCATGTCTTCCTAAACATTATACAACCTATGGTTGTATGAGCATAGAGTGAAGTTAATTACACCGAGGTCAGACACACCTTCTAAATGACTGAGTCTAAAAACAAGGTTCTTGACAATATAAAAGGAGAAAATCAAAAAGACATCTACTATGGCACTGTCCCATTTAAATAACTATAAAATCAAAAATTCCATTATATATTGAGAAAACTTAAAGATAGTTTTCAAAAGACTGTATGACTTCATATGGTAGTTACATTTGATTTAAACAAAATAAAAGGAAGATAGAATAAATCATATAACATACTATCCTTCAGATTTAATGAAAATATATTCTCCTCTCCCACTGCCACTTTGCTTGCTATGCCAATGGCAAACAAACACCAAGTTGAATAAACAATTTGTCAACTATACTATCACTCTGCACAATATGCCTATTTAAGACCAAAGTCACCACCCATATTTAGATATCCACTTTTCAGCTTCCCATACATTATTCAAGCATATAGCAACTACTCATAGAAGTTTTTCAAACTTTAAATTATTTCTTATTAACAGAATTTAAGCATAACTCCTCAGTCACATTAGACACATTTCAAGTGCCCAATAACAACTTGGTTAGTGGCATCTTTGTTAGACAATTAAGGCACTGAGTACTTCAAACACAATCATCATAGAAATGTTGATTAGCAACACATCACAATGTGACTATGCATATGGCACATATATAAAATTTCATTTATAAACTTATTAAATGATAAGGTCTAAGTTTAACTCCATTGTTCTTGTAGTCTTACAGTTCATATCAAGTGCTAAGTAGACATCGGCTGAACTTCTAAAGATGATGCTCTACCAGGGACAGTATGAATGATGATACCATGTCCTCTAAAAAATACAAGGCCACTTGGAAAATTAATATAAAGAGATTATATTAGAAAATCACTTATTACTATTGTTTAGTTCTTTAAAAGGGGATCACCAAAGATTTGGACATAACTGCACCTGAGTATTGCAAGCACACAGCCATGTAAACAGAGCCTGACCTCATGATGGTTTCTGGGCCTTCCAGAACATCTAGCACATGTTATTAAGAAACCAAGAAACAAAATAATCAAGAATAGAACTTTATAGAGACATAGAACACAGGATAATGAGAGATAGACAGTCTTGTGGTGAAGATTAGAAAAGCTGATAAGGGTCAAGGGTCTCAGCAAATCCAGAGATGGAGTTAAGTGAAATAAGCCAAGCTGATGAAAATGAACAAAGAGAGAACAGAAAAGTGATATTGGGATAAACATGCACTCAAAGAGGGAGGCTGTATCCAAAGGATAGGACAAAGAGCCAGAAATAACTCCACACTGGAGAGACTGAAGGACAAGACTTTGTTCACCAAGAGGCCAGACTACAGAATTCAGCCAATGTGGAGATGCTTGCTTCTCTGACTGTCTTTTATCCCTGATATTTCCACATAGGATGATTTATCTTCCTTTTTTGAATACTTAAATGACATGTGGAAGTCATATAAATCTTTTAGGTAGGTGTGGTCATTGGCTAAAGCAAGATAGCAGAAGTATTGGTGTAAATATTTTTCAATCAATCATAAAGGTAAAATCTCCAAAAATATTTGAATATAAAGTTAAAAAGTAATATTCTTACGTCTATGGCTTTCTGCCAGACACTTCCTGTCCTGGTGGTGTCTTTCCATTTTATCATTTCCTTGCTTGGGCTTCTTTTCAGCTGGAGTGAGTTGCTCTACAAGCTACTTACAAAAACATGGTTTCAATTGCTTATTCCTGTGTTCTACCCTGTGCACTTAGCCAAGAGATCAAGAATCACAAAACTGTTCTGTCCAGATTTGTCTGACTCTAATAACATTATCAAAGAAAATAAAAGTACATTTTAAAGTACAACTCTCAGAGGTGAAATGAGATGTGTTGTCAGTGGAAAAGGCAAGACAACATCAACACAATATGAGCTGTGTAGTAGCACAGTCACATCTGAGTGTATTTACAAAGCTAATACTACAGGTCTCATCTCATGAATCAACTCAAATAGTAACCTACAGCTCTAGCATTAGGCCCTTATGCATTGCCTAAAACAGTGCAGTTCACAAAATCTTTAGAGCTTCCAGGACAACTGCACTTGATCTAATTTACTTCTAGCATTTACATTTGTGATATCATCTAAAGTTCTATGTATTAGAGGCTTGGTTCTTAGCTTGGCATTATAGGGAATCCTTAGGAGGCAGCCATACAGGAGGAAGCTAGTCCTCCTAGGAAGGAGTGGGGGTCATATATTGAGTAAGATATTGAGACTACTCTTCCTCTCTCTAATTCTCTCTAACATGATCTAAACTGCTCCATTCCACCATATATGCTTATTATGATATTCTTTCTCCTGTAAGGCTCAAAACAATGGACCCAACACCCATGGACTGAAGCCTCTAAAATTATGAGCTAAAATATATCTTCTTCATTAACATAAGTTATCTTAGTATTTTTTTTTCATAGCAATTTACAGCTGACTAACACAATCAGTTTGGAAAGGAAACTCATTAAGAATTCCTCTCCAGCATAAGCTGTCACTAGTGTTTTTGATCTTAGCCATTCTGACTAGAGTAAGATGGAATCTCAGAGTCATTTTGATCTGCATTTCCCTGATGGCTAAGGATGTTGAACAATTCTTTAAGTGTCAAAAACACTAATGATAGCTTATGCTGGAGAAGATGTGGAACAAGTGTTGATAGGGGATGTCATTCTGTATATGTGTTGCTTTTATTGATTGATGAATAGAGTTGTTTGGGCCTATGGCTTAGCAGAGTACAGACAAGCAGGAAATCTGAACACAGATATAGAGGGAATAGGTGGTGTTGGGGAGATGCCATGTAGCTGCCAAAGGAGAAAGATGCTGGAACCTTACTGGTAGGTCACAGCCTCATAGTGATACATAGATTAATAGAAATTGGTTAATTTAAGACGTAAGAGTTAGTTAATAAGAAACCTGAGCTAATAGGCCAAACAGTGTTGTAACTGATATAGTTCCTGTGTGATTATTCATGTCTGGGAGCCTGGTGCTGGCAGGATTGCAAATTTGTACAGCCACGTTGGAAATCAAAATGGTGATTTCTCAGAAAATTAGAAATTGACCTCCCTCATGACCCAGCTATACCACTCTTGGGTATATACCCAAAGGATGCTCAATCATTCCACAAGGACATTAACTGTAAGTAAAGGATAACCATGCTACAATCCACAGCCCCAGAGAGGCTAGAAAGCCTTCATTCAGTGACTGATAGAAACGAATGCAGAGATCCACTGCTAAGCAACCTCCAGGAATCCTACTGAAGAAGGGTGAAAGATTGTATGGGCCAAGGGCATCAGGGTCATCACAAGGGAACCACAGGAACAATTAATCAGGGCTCAGAAGAGCTCACACACTCTCTACCATCAGCTAGGGAGCCTGCATGGACCAAACTATGCCATGCACATATGTGTGACAGCTCTATAATTCGACCTACTTGTGGAACTGTTAGTGGTGGAAGCACGGCCTAATGCCTTGGCTGACTTCCAGGAACCTATTTCTCATAATGGGTTGCATTTAATACAAGGGGAACATCTTTATTCCTACCTCAACTTGATATGCCATGCTTTGCTGACAACCATGGGAGTCCTGCCCCTTTCTGAACAACAACAGAGGAGAAGTAGATTGTGGCAGGGGGGAGGGGATGGGAAACTGCAGACAGGATGTAAAATAAATGAACGTGTAAATGGTGAATTCTCTGTCCTGCCCTGTCCCTTAGTGCTCCCTGTAATCACTCAGAGGCTTAGTATTAATTGCTAATGCTCAGTCAATAGCACAGGCTTATTACTAGCTTACTCTTACATTTAAAATAACCCCTATTTCTATCGATGTTTTGAAACATGGCCCAAAGCTTATTACTTCATTTTCTACATGTTCTGCTTGTTCAGCAGCTGACTGGCATCTCTCTCAGCTTTGCCTATCATTCCCTGAGTTCTCAGTTTGATTGTTCTGCCTAACCTTATTCTGCATGGCTATTGGTCAAACACCTTTTATTATTAACTAATGAGAGTAATGCAAACTTACAGCATACAGAAAGATCATCCCACAACATGAATGAATTTAACTAATAAAAAAAATCTTTAAAATATAAACATTAGAGGAAAAAAAGAAATTCCTCATATTTGTTTCTCCAGCTTTTTGGACTCACTGAGTAAAGCTGTTTTCAAGGACAAAATTGAGGATCAGTTAACTCAAATCACAAAAAAAAAATTAATTGGGAACACTGGGGATGACCACAGAGGGAGAACTTTAAGACCATTTTAAATATTGTGAAAAGATTTATCCATGATGTTGTTATTGGCAATACACCCTAGAGACCGGATTTCTAATATTATTCCTGATAGTGTGTTTTGAGAGGCCAGAATCTTTATATTACCTTAGAAACAAAGAGATAAATATCTAGTTAAAATAATTTGCCACCATGGAAAGGCACAATGCTGTAAAGAAAGCATTGATTTAAGTCAAGATCCATATTCCA